GGCGGGGAGGGTGCCTGATCCCTGGCGCCCGATGCTGTGGCCGTCAGCGTGCGCCGCTGCTGCCTCGCCCGCGTCAGGGCAGCCGCCGCTTCTGCCGCTGCTGCTGCTGCTGCTGCCACCGCCGCCTCGGGAGATTGCGTCGAGCAGTGCGCCGCCAGCCGACGCCACCGCCATCATGCCCAGCCTCGCCGCGCCCCTCGCCAAGTCGACGCCAACGCCGCCGCCTGGTCCGCCGCCGGAGGGCGCAGCGGAGGGCTCCATGGAAAGGGCCGGCAGCAGCGGGGGCAGCTGCGCTGGCGGAAGCTGCGGTGAGGCGTGGGCAGTCTGAGGTGCGGTCCCAAACCACAGCAGTCCCCACGGCTGCACCTGCTGCGTGTCAGTGGCTCGGGGAAATTCATGTTCGCTGTCTGACTGTGTGAGAGGCTGTGTGGGTGGGGAGGGGGAGGGAGATGGCATCAACTGCTTTGTCGGTTGGCCGCGTTCAACGTTCAGCAAGGGCGTCTGGGCAGGTTGCACGGTGGACGGCTTGGTGTCAAGACTGCTGTAGACGACGACGGCGCCAGGAAAGGCGGCTGCTTGTCAAGCACACATAGATCACTCACCATACGCTTGCTCGAGCATGCCTGCATTCGCTGCTTTGATGCTGCGGCCCCGCGCGGTCGACACTGCGAGTGAGGAACGCAGGTGGCGGCAGCGGAGCACTGCGCCGATGCCGGTGGCCCCCTGGCCGCCCGTGGGGAATTTTTATGCATTGAATCGACTTGAATTTGTCACATATAATACGTTTGGGATGATCTATGGTGGTACGCTTGTATACCAGCTCTCAAGCTCCGCTCATTCCCTACGGTATTGTAATACTATCAATGCAAAACGTAAACAGCTTGCAGATTCGAGCTCAGAGCAACTGCAGTCTGCGTAAAGGACGTGTCCTCGTCCTGGTGCCACCAGATGTTCAATCCAATGACCCTGCCTCACGCTGCCTGATCTGCACAGAGCACCTGACGTGCATATGTTCAGGAAACCTACGTCTTACACGATGCATTTGCGTGGCAATTATCAATATTACATACACATGGGGCGCGTGCAGTGCTGCAGTCATTTCTTGTAACCAGGTGCCCAGCCGCAGCTATGAAGGTAGAGCTTCTCCACCGCTGCTCGCTGCGACTCAGAGCAGCGACGAACCGAGGCGCGTGGAGTGCAGCATAACAACACGCAACCATAGCTGCAGCTTGGCAGGTACGCTCGAGAGCGGGGCACCGACGCGCTTCGGTGTGCAGCCACGAAAGCGCCCAAACGAACGCTACCGTATGCTGCATGTTCCACTCCAGAGCCTGGACTGACTCCTGATCTAGTGAAAGGATATTCTCAGCCTTGTTTATGAGGCCGGGGTGAAATCAAGGGCCCCAGCACTGAAACCAGCTGCCAGGGGCACGACGGTTGCTGCCAGGGGTGCGAGAGTGTGTGTGTGTGTGTGTGTGTGTGTGTGTGTGTGTGTGTGTGTGTGTGTGTGTGTGTGTGTGTGTGTGTGTGTGTGTGTGTGTGTGTGTCTGTCTGTGAGAGAGG